AGGTCCTTGATTTTCATCACTTTGAATATTTCATGCCAGTTTTCTTCTGGTCTTATCGGAGCTCCTTTGTAAGTAACTAACTGCTTTTCTCTTGCTGCTTTTAAGATTCCCTCTTTGTCTTTAACCTTTGCCATTTTAATTATGTTGTGTCTTAAAGTGAGCCTCTTTGGGTTCCTCTTGTTTAGAACTCTCTGCACTTCCTAAACTTGTGTATCTTTTTCTTTCACAAGGTTAGGGAAGTTTTCAATCATTCCTTCAAATAGGTTCTTGATCCCTTGCTCACTCTCTTCTCCTTCTGGTACCTCTATGATGCAGATGTTTCACAAGGTTAGGGAAGTTTTCAATCATTCCTTCAAATAGGTCTCGATCCCTTGCTCACTCTCTTCTCTTTCTGGTACCCCTATGATGCAGCACTTCATGTTGTCCCAAGGGTCCCTTAAACTATCCTATTTTTTTTTAATCCTCACCTAAGGACATGTTTTGTTAATTTTAGAGAGAGAGGGAAGGAGATAGAGAGAAACATCAATATGAGAGAAAAACATCATTTGGTTGCCTCCTGTACATGCCCCAACTGGGGATCAAATCTACAACCCAGGCATGTACCCTGACTGAGAATCAAACCCTCAAACTTTTGTTGTACAGGACAACACTCCATTCAACCCAGGCACTCAGCCAGGACAAATATCTTCATTTTTTCTTTTTCTTTTTGCTGCTCTCTTTGGTATTTTCTGCTCCTTTGTCTTCCCAGATTCTTCCCTGACCTCAGCAGGACAAGGTCAACAGGAGTCAAGAGGGTAGAACTAGAGGATTTCCTCTGGGAGGGGCGGCATCAGTCAGGTTCATGGGAAAGTGGGTGGAATGGACCCCACCCCAAAGCCACACCACTCAGTCACTGACACCCCCTGAGTCTGCCCAGACTCTACACCATGGTCCAGGGAGCTGATGCCTCAGCAGATTGTGAGTGCTGCATGATAGAGTGATTGCTTTCCCCCACGTTTATGGTGTAAAGAGGGGAGTGCTTCACTCAAGAAAGATGGCATGTTGGAGAGGGACTCAGCACAGGGATCCTGGCAGCTGTCCTCTCAGCTCTCTTCCCAGAGCCACAAACCCCAGTCTCTCCTCATGCAGCTCCAGTCTACTCTGCCCTCTCTCTGCCAGAGCCCAGGATGCGTGGCGGCCAACAAAATTTTGTGCATTGGCCCTTTATGAGGGAGCCTGTGTCTCTAGGAGACTCCTGTCTCTCCTTAGCAGACAATCCCCACTGATTTTCATAGCCAGGTGTTACGTGGGCACCTCTTCCCAGCTCTGGTGCTCTGGGCTGGGGAGCCCGGTGTTGGGTTAAGACCCCACACTCATGAGGGGGAAACTTTGCAGCTGAGATGTCTCTCTGGAACTTCAGCCGCACCCCTTTGTGGCTGGGGCCGGCCCTTTTCACATCTTTGTGCTTCCTACCAGTCTCAATGTGGCTGCTTCTGTAAGGCCTCAGTTATAAGACTTATATTCAGCTGGCCTTCAGTTGCTTATTCAGGCTGGTTTTTCTATATTTTAGTTGTAATTCCAGTTTGGTCTTGGGAGGAGGTGAGTGTAACATCCACCTAGCTGCCACCTTGTTTGTACTTGCTGGTTCTTTTCAACATCTGTTTTCTTGGAACTCTTAACAGTTCAGTAGCATAGAGAGGAGACAGGGATGCTCTGAGCAATTTGGAACAGAGGGCTTTAGGTAAAGGAGACGAGATTTGGTGAGAAAATCTACACAGTAAGGGAGTTTTATACTTCCAACCAGACTAAAATTTTCTTTTTAAATGTGGATCATCTATCTCGTTCAAAGATGGCAGTTTTGCAGGATTTGGCACTATCTACAACCAATATTTTATATATTTTGAAGGAAATTTTCAACCATAAAAGTCAATCTAGGGCTGATTAGAAAACCCTCCCACTGAACCTAAGAGAAAATTTAGGTGAATTCATCCCTGGACCCCAAGCATATGTCAGGAGTTTGCCTTTCATTATAAGAACATGAAGATGCTCACTACAAGTATTTATCTGTTCAGATCACATCCCAAGAAACTTGTGGGGTCATGCGAGATACTTTGATGATACAGTAATTTATTTATACTGACATGAGCTGGGACAAGGTCTTTACAGAGGAGAGGCGGGAACAAGGCAGAGGCATTACTTTATTGGTTCCCTTATTTGGGGAAACCTAGTTGGCTGTTTGTAATTGGTTGTTCTGCAGTTTCACTTTCTCAGGTCCCGGGGCAGGCAGTGGCTTGGGTGCCAGTTAGCTCCTGTGGGCCGCCGTGCATTAGAGCGTCCTCAGTCTGGTGACCTCCTTGGTTAGATGCTTTAACAGGGTGTGGGTCACAGCCAGAGGGAGGAGAGTCCTGGCAGTGACGTTGGCCAGGGCTTGGGGGAGAGGAAGCAGATCCCAGCCGAGGAGATTTACACGGTAGGGTTTCCTCGGCCAGACTGCACGGAACAACCTAAGACACTTTAGGTGCAAGAGTCGTCTTCGGTCACGTGTGCTCCCAGAGAGCAGGTCTATAAAAAGGGAGTGTGCTGGCCGCACAGAGGAGAACATGCCAGCACGCGGCCGTTTGGTTTTCATGATCAGTTAATCAGGTGCCTCAGGAATATAGATTCTGTGGCCAGGCTGCTTTCCTTCTGAGTCTGGCTTCCTCTCCTACCGGAGAGGTGTCTTGAGCGAGCTTCATAACTTTTGTGTCTCAGTTTCCTCATCTGGGAAGTGGCTTTAAGAACGTTACTTGAAAGAGTTGAATGAGGTAATTCACGTGACGCTGCAGTTAGCACAGCGACTGGCACGTCGTGACACTCGGTGACTGCCAGCCATTATTCTTATTAATGGTTGTATGCGGCTGTCCCTTAAGCTTGTGTAATATGGGTCAGCTGCAGCAGGGGGCCCACTCTTAGCCAGAAAATCACATTTTAGGGCCCAGACCCTGGGGACTTGCCTCTGGATAAAGGGCATAGGTTTTCCAAGGTGAATGCCACCATGCGGGGCTGGATGGGTCCATCAGACACCCCGTCTCCTTGCCTGTCATGGACCCACAGTGGCATCCAACTGTTCTTTGTATGGTAATGCCAATTCTTATAGTAACTTTATGACACTTGCGTCTTCTCATTTAAACCTTCTACAAGGCAAAAGCCTTGCCCTATCCTTTCCCTGTATCCTCTCAGTAAATACTTCCTGGATGACATAATGAGGTTTATAGAGAATTCTGAATAAACGGAAGCACATCTGAAAAATGAAATAGCTGGGAGCAGTGAAGACCGGGGCGGGGCGGCGGGCGGAGGAGGCCTTCCTGAACGGGGCATCTGGAAGAGCTCGCTGAGCTCAGGGACCCAGCAGGGCGCAGAGGCCTGTGGCTCTTAGAAGAGGAGGGTGTGGTGCTGTCACCACCAGCCTGTCCTGTCCTGTCTGCCAGCCTGGGCAGCCACCACTGGTGCCACTAGGTGAAGTAGGCGGGCCTCCTAACTTGGTGGCCCTGGAGGAGGCGCGGCAAGACCTGGAGCCGGAGGGGAGGGAGGCCGTGACTGAGGCCGCGGGGACAGCACTGGCTTTGTTCGGAAGGTGGCAGCGAGCCGGCTGCACGCAGGGCTCAGCCTCCCGGGCTCCACGCACCACCACCCCGCCCCGCTGCTGCTCTTGCTAACCCTCCCGCGTCTTGGGTGCCCGCTGCAGCTGCGTGGGCATCAGGGTCACTTCTCTGCCCCCCGCAGGCCTGTCCTTCCCTGAGAGGGTCCTGGTGGGTGTCCTGTGAGCCACTGCAGATGTCAAACACTCTCACTCCACCCAATACCAATTATTTAGGATCTAAAATACTGCCCACGGTGTGATGAGAGGCAAAATTGTGGACTTTTAGAGTTAAAGGGACCCTCGAGATATCTAACGCTCTTCAATTTTACAGATGAGGAAACTGAAGCTCAGAGAGGTTGAGTTACTTACCCAAGGTCACACAGCCAGCTTAGGGCACAGAAGGCACTGGAAGTTTGCTGTCCCTTGTACCCCTTACTCTGTTCCACACTCCCAACAAACAGACTTTGTCGGGGTTTAGGTTGACTTATCAGCCCAACTTCTAGTGGTTTTATTGGAGGGGAAGATCCATTATGCATCTCTACTGCAGGTATTTGCAGGAGTCCAGCCACTGGAAATCAAAGAATTTCTGTAAAATTTTGGAAGACAGGCCCATCTAAAAAGCCTTGAGGGAATGTGTGTGGCTTGTCTGTACGGAATGTTGTATGTTGTTTCATTCACTCGTGGGGCGTTCTTGCCATTCCGGAGAAGATTTCACATTGATCGCACTGTTATACACCCTCCGACTTGCTGGCCACGCAGCAGCCCAGTGGCAGGATGGCTCCTGCACAGGCCACCCGCTGACAAGGACAGTGAGCCGGTAACAGTGCCTGCTTTTGAGCGAACACTTCACACCCTGCCCCCCCCCCCCACGGCTCCTGCTCGGCCGTGGTGCACAGAGCTTCCCGCTCGCTGCGGGGGGCTCGCCAGCCCGAGCTGAGTCTTGTGTGCCTGCGCTACGCAGCTTACGTGTCTGTGTTACGTAGACTTGTGCTTGTAGTATGCATTGATGAGAGTGGGTTGCAATAAGACAGTGAATAATGAAAATGCAGTCACACCGGCTTGGCCAGGGCCAGCGCCCCGCCTCGTTCGTCTAGAGGCGGTCTAACAGAGCGACCGTGGGCTGTCGGCCTGCGGGCCCTGCTCTCCGCTCGCCAGAGAGAGCAGGGGTGCCCCACGCTCCTGCGCTCCGGCTCCGTCCTCCTCCGGGCGGGGGCCTGCCATCTGGGGCGGCGTCCCCTCTCTCTGAGACGGGTGTCTCCTCGGGTTTGCGCAGAGCCCCTTCCAGGCCGGGCACGGCCTTGCCGCTGGCCACGCACACGGCACGGCTGTCTCGGGCGTGTCCACTCTTCCCACGGACCTCGGGGCCGGCCCCCCACCCTGAGCCTGTGCTGTGTCCCCACAGGTGTCCCAGGCAGCCGCGGACCTCCTGGCGTACTGCGAGGCCCACGTCCGGGAGGACCCTCTCATCATCCCCGTGCCCGCGTCCGAAAACCCCTTCCGCGAGAAGAAGTTCTTCTGCACCATCCTCTGACTCCGGCGCGCCGGAGCGCCTCCGTTTCTGGGGCGCCCGTGGGACCCGCATGTGCGTAGCTTTAGGGAGGCCCCTCCGTCCCTGCCCGTCCCTGCCCAGCCACGATCACAGGGAGCCGGGCTCGTCTGTCCCTTGGTTTTCTTCATGGCATTAGTTTTTCTTTTCATTTTCAAGTATTTTCATTATTGGCAAAGAAAACAGACATTTTTGTAGCCAAATAACAAATGTGCCAAGTAAAAATAAGTATGGATTTCAGGGCTTAAACTTTTAAACATCAGTTCCCAAGTTTAATTACACCAAGTCAATACCTTTCAGTGGATAATGTATTGAAAAATTAATACAGCGGACCCCAAAAGGAAAAAGGATAATTTTCCTTTTGGGGTCCGGTGGATACCCAAGAATCCCCCGCTCCCAACAATTCAGCATCAAATAAGAGCACTTTGACCAACTGAAATATAGGTAAAATTTTTACCTCCTTCCCTGGAGAAAACAGTCCTGGAAGGCCTCTAGTTCCTGCTTTTCCATCATCCTATTAAAAAGGGAACCACCACCCTGGCCGGGCAGCTCAGTCGGTTAGAGGGTCACCCCAGTTCTCCAAGGTTGCAGGTTCGACCCCCAGGTGGGGCACATACAGGAAGCAACCAATAAACGCAAAAATAAGTGGAACAACAAATTGATCTCCCTCTCTCTCTCTCTCCCCACACTTCTCTCTCTTTCTCTCAAATCAATAAGTAAAGATTTTTTTCAGAGAAGAAACAACCCACAACATCAATTGGGGTTTTTTTAAACCCTCGCCTGAGGACATATTTATTGATGTTAGAGAGAGAGGAAGTGAGTGAGAGAGAAACACCACAGTGAGAAAGAAATGGTCATCGGTTCCCTCCTGCATGTGCCCCGTCTGGGATCAAACCTGCTACCTAGGAATGTGCCCCGACCGGGCATCAAACCTGCAACCCTTCAGTGCACAGGACGACGCTCCAACCAACTGAGCCCCCTGGCCAGCGCGCATCAACGGTTTTCTTAACATGTGTGGCCCAGATGCCGCCAAGGGCCCAGGCCCCTGTTTCCCAATGGTTGTCACTGACCACTCTGGAGGTGGTCCTTCTACAGACGTAGATGTGGAGTGGACACCACAGCAAGCCTGGCCGTCCATGTGCGTGGCGACTCCAGCTGCCCAAGGTGCCATCTGTCCGCTCCACACAACACCTCTGCCTGCTCCCTCTCGTCTGGCTCCTCCTGAGAGTCCTACCACCGGCAGCGTCAACGACAGCCATCCTGCGCCCAACACTGGGCCCTGCGGGGTGTCACGTGGTGGCCCTGCCCCAGACGAGTGAGTCTCAGAGACAGCAGACCTGGGCATGCACAAGTACTCACTTATTTAATCCTCCAACAATAAATAATCGCCATGAGCATATCTGTTTTAGAGAGGGAAACTGAGGCACAGAAGAGTGATGGTTCCCCAGGGTTACAGATAGCAAGCAGGAAATCTGGGGCTTGAGCTCAGGCAGCCTGGCCCGAGCCCTCCCAGGCCCCTGGGCGAGGCTGCCTCCCAGGTCTACCTGCTTGCAGGTAGGGAGACCCGCAAACAGCCTGACCGATGTCGTGTGCTCCACAGCAGCGGCCGCTCAGCAGCACAGCCCCTTCCCCTCTGAGGAGGCATGTCGGGCCCGTGTGCCTGCAGTTTATGGAGATGGCACATGGCTGCCCTGTGGAAGGTTAGTCAGCTCTTGTTTCCTCTGAGACAACCCTGCAGACCCTTCCCAAGTCGCACTCACACCGCACTGAAGAAGAACCCGACTACCCCACTGCGGCCCCCAGCCTTTGTCCTTTCTGCCGGCGGGAAACGGCCTCTGTCCCTGGTCCTGACGGGGCTTGCTGTGTGAGCAAGCCGTGGGTTCCTGAGACGTTCTAATAATGCGAACGGCTCCTCCTGCCTTTCTGCCGGGGAGGACACCGCGAGGGGCCACAAAGATGAAAGCCGTGATTACCGTTTGAAACAAGTAAATGTACCGGACGCCTCTGTAATGGAGGGAGAGCTGCCTGGCTTCAAAGGCGCCATGGCTCCGCTGGAAGGCTAATGTAAAAGTGTCTACAAAGAGGCAAATGTGATTTTCAGATCAATTAATGGCTCACCACCCTTGTAAATGGTCTTAGTGCATTTTTATTCTTTGCTGCTTTTGTTGAAACCCATTCTTCATTAAAGCTCACTGATAATACCAGTGTTGTTAAGTAAGACGTCAACTCCTTCTCCCTCTCAGTATATGACTCGGGTCTCTTTATTGTGTCGTCCATGTTAACATCATTAACCTGGTAAAACAAAGTACAATCCATAAAAGCACATCAGAGGGCCTGCGAAAGTGCGACAGCACAGAAACCGGCTAAATCAGGTCAAGAAAAAAAATGTGCTTCCCACTCCCCCGTTCGTCTTTACTTTGTCCGTCCGTATTCTGCCTTCCTTCCCCTCTCTGCCTTACGTCCCTTTGTGACATCTTCTGTCCTTTTACCACACCTCTTCCTTCCAAACCTGTGGTCTTTGTGTGGCGTGACCCCAAGTGTCCCTGAACTCAAGGCCACCTTCTTAAAGGCAAGTTCAGGCTTGTGAGCTATGAGGTACACAAATGTGTGACTGGTCCCCTCCCCCTTCTTGCCACCATCAGGAGGTGAGTGGCCAGGAGTGCACCTGCGGTAGGCAGTTGTCCCTGTGTCATTGGGTATGTGTTTCCAATTTGGCCGTCCAGCACCTGACCCCCCTTCCTGCAGGGAGGAATCACCCCTTACACAGCAAGTTAGTGAGAGGCAGTGCCCGCCGCTGGGGACGGTCAAGTGGAGAGGCCTTCCCTGTGTCTCGGGTGCACCCCCTTCCTAGCGCCAACTGGCCAGGGAGTGTCCAGTCACCCGGGGTGAGCTACATGGACTCCCTGCTTGGGATCTGACCCCAGGGCCAGTGACACGGACACGACAGTGTGCTGAGATTTATCGCATGAGCACTGCCCGTGGCCCAGCGGGGACGTCTCGGACTGCTGGGTCCACGGGTAGCCACGCCCGGGGTGGGGGGCCGGCGGAGTCCTGAGCGGCGCATTCCTGCTCGTTCCTTGGCCCCACTGAGCTGCCTCGGTGCCTGCCCATTTTCCTAGGTTTCCTTTCTAGCTTTCTGTCCACTCTGAGCCCTCAAGATCCAGCCAATAAATTCCTTACTCTTCCCTGAAGTAGCTTGGGCTGGATGTTCATACCATATGACCTAACAGCTCCACTCTAAGGTGTGTATGTAACAAAAATGTGTGCCTGTGTTCACCAGAAGAAATGTACTATGTTCATAGACGCACTATTCAAAATACCCTCGAGCTGGAAGGCACCCACGTGCCCACGCTGAATGGATAAACAGATGACGGCACATTCACACAGTAGAATCCTGCAGGGCGACGAGTGTGAACCAACAGCCCTGCCGCTGTGTCCTGCCGCGGGGCACGGGAACACGAGCCAAGGCAAGTCTGTGCTGTGTGGTTCCATGTCTGTCAAGTGTGAGACCTGGCACAGCCCTCGGCGCCGCGGTAGGGGGGCCGCCAGTCACTCTCCAGGGGCTGGTAGCCAGGAGGGGCCGGGGGGCTTCTGCAATGTTGTTTCTCGTGTCCAGTTTGCGAAAATTCTTTGAGCCGTATACATTCAATGTGTGCACTTTTCTGTACATATGTTATACTTCAATAAAAGTTGTTTTTTGTGGCTGGCAGTCAAAAATTCTACTGTTTTTTTGTTGTTGTTTTTGTCTTTTTGGCACTTTGCTCAGGCTTGACTCCTCTTCAGGTCTAACATCATCCTGGGGCACTTAAGAGTATCTCTGACAACACTTTGAAACAGGAAGTACTTACGACCCACAGCCCTCCGGATGGAGAATGGGCTTGGGGCACCATGCAGAGGTCCCCTGTGAACAGGGGTGTGTGAACGCCAGGCTGTGGAACTTGTGTCTTTTGGGAAAACGGTGAGGAACCCCCCTGGGATTTCCAGCCCGGAGGGTCCTCTTGGTAACTGAGGCAGCTGGCGTCCTCCCAGCCCCTCCTGCCTCTGACAGTCAGGAATGAGCGGAGCGGGTGGCTGTGACAAGGCCCGAATATCAAACATCACCTCCGGGGAAGGAGCCGCACCAGGCACCAGCCGGCTCTGCGCTGATGTGTCTCCTGCATGTAGCCCAGTCCCCTGGGCCACCCAGCCGTAGATACACAGAGGCAAATGACTCCTTTGCCTCTGTGCCACCCAGCAGCCCTCAGCCCCCTCTCAGACCTCTGAAGATTTCTAAGAGTCCCCGTGCGTCTCCTTTGCTCTCAGCTGCCATGTGGCCTTGGCCATTCTTCTCACAGCTGTGACAGGTTCGGTCCCAGGGAGAGCTCAGCGGCTGGCTGTGTCCTGGGGCTCCTTCTCTGTGGGTCATTCTGCGCGCCTGCCCCGTGGAGCTCCACCATCCACCGCACGTCCGAGAGCTGTCCGCAGCCTCCCTCCGAGGGAGCTGGGGGAGGGGCGCACACCCAGGTCAGAAGGAATTTTGTCTGGTGCCTGTTCGAACTGGAGATGAAAATAATAATGACAACTAACCTATCGGTCCTGAGAAGAACATGGACTTTGCTAACAGATTAAACACAATCTGTTTACACTTCCGTAGCCCGCAGCACAGCAGGTGAGAAGGCACCAGGCGACTGGCGGTTTTAACGGAGGACAGGACGATGCCCCTGCCCCGCCCGGTTTCAGCTGTGTCTCCTGGGCAGCACCCCGCTGTGCCCTCCGCAGGCGCACAGCTGAGAGTGCGGCCAGCAGGGCGCTTCCCAGAGTCAGGGTTTCCGGAGAGAAGTGTGGAGGAGCCCTGTCCACTCCCACTGATCAGAACCTGACATGCCACCCACTGTCTAAGGGAACCCCTACCCCTGATACTGTTCCAGCTGTAAGTAATTCACTAATTCGCAAAATGTTCAAGCCTAGGTATGGTGATTAGCCACCTGCCAGTGTTCTTGTAACCACTTACCTTTGAAGGTGTCCCACCTCCAAAGCCCTGCCTGCTCTGGTCCCGTGTCCCCTCCAGAGTCACCTTCACACCTCGCTCCCCCGCGAAGCCCACAGCACTGCTCAAGGCCACCTCGCAGCCCTGCCCCTGCCACCTCAGGGCCTTTGCATCAGCTGCCCCCACTGCCTGGCGCACCGCCCTTCACCAGCTCTGCTGATCGTTTAAGCCTCAGGTAGAGCGCGGCCGAAGGTCCACCCCTGCCCTGCCCTCTCTGACCACGTCAGGTCCGCGAACGGGCTCCTGCTGCGCTGAGGAGCTGTCCCTGCAGTGCGGGGCCTTGCAGTTCCCCATTTGTGCACACGACCTCTCAGCACCAACCATCGGGGCTTCACTCACCTGTGTCCCCAGCACTTGACATCACTTGACATATGAGAGGCACTCGACGAGCAGCAGCCACAGAAATTATGAATGTCACCACGCGACCTTTTTGACACTGAGTGCTTCTTCGGGTTCTCCACGAGCGAGCTGTGTGAGTGGGCGCTCCAGAGGCCTTATGAGACAGCCACGGGGGAAGGAGGGAGGGGAGCCCTTTCTGTGGCGTGCATACCTGTGGCGTCAGGCACCCAGCAGAGGAGCTCGTGTTTGACCCTCACAACTGGGGGACGAGCCACCTGTATACCACATGTTCCTCGGACGCACGCAAGGCGGTAAGTTCAGATGAAGTAACTTGCCAAGTAGCTGGATTCGAATCCCAGTCACTCCTGACTTGATGCTACCCTACACCTGCCTGTCGTCAAACCAGGGCACCTCAGAAGTGAAGGCTCTCACCCCCTCCACCCTCCACTAAAGAAACTAGCTTCTGGGAAAGCCTGATGCAAACTCTTGACTTTGTGTTATGGTTATGC